GTGGCCTCCTTGGCCACCTGAGTACACGCTGGCTCCTCTCCAGCCCTCCGTTCCTACACCCCGAGGTCCTTTTCTGCACCAGGAGGAGCAGCCCAGAGGGACAGAGACTCACTGAACCCCAGCAGCAGCAGCTCCAGCCCGTACCTTGTCCAGCTTGTCCACGCTGGAGCAGATTGTCCGGAACTTGCTGTCCGGGACCCCGCAAACCGCAAACATCCCGTCCAGGACCCGCCGATCATTGACCTGGGGAGAGGGAGCAGGTCACTGGCTGGGAACTCCGGGAGATGCTCCAGCTGGGCAGTTTCTCTCCAGTTTTAAGCATGGATGAGAAACTGGCTGATATCTGCCAAGTTTTTTTTTGTTTTTTTTTTTTTTTTTCTGGTAATTGAGGGCAAAGGCTCAGCTGGATTCAGTGTTTCCATGGGTAGTGAGAATGCCAACAATTAAATCAGAATCACAGAATCATTAAGGTTGGAAAGGACCTCTAAGATCATCAAGTCCAATCATCAAACCAACACTACCATGGCCACTAAACCGTGTCCCAACATACCGTGTCTACATCTTTTTTGAACCCTTCCAAGCATGATGACCCCACCACCTCCCTGGCCAGCCTGGGCCAATGCCTCACAACTGTCAAGAGAGAGATTCTGCCTCACATCCGATCTAACCCTCCCCGAGCACAACTTAAGCTCATTTCCTCTCATCCTATCACTAGTTACTTGGGAGAAGAGGACATGAGGCAGAAACAACAACAGCTCAGGAATTTGTGACCTTCCAGCACCACCATTGACCAGAGAGAGAGTGGCTTGTGGAAGACAGTAACAACTGTGGGCAGGTTCTTTCACCATTCCCCATTGCAGGGGTGCCTTCTCATCCTCAACGACATCTGAAGGCAAGTCTGAGCTGAAACCACAGCAATGACCTGGGGGGTGAACCCCTCTGCTTGGAGCCCAGCAGGAGAGAGTTGGGCTTGGGCAGCCTGAGAGGAGAAGGCTCCAGCTGGGGAAGACATTCTGGGGGCCTGCCAGGACTCCATGGGACTGTCAGAAAGCTGGGGACAGACTTTTTAGCAAGGCCCGTTGTGACAGGACAAGGGGTGATGGGTTTAAACTAAAAGAGGGAGATTTAGACTAGAGAGCAGGAAGAAATGTTTGACACTGAGGGTGGTGAACCCCTGGCCCAGGTTTCCCAGAGAGGTGGTCAGTGCCCCATCCCTGGAACCATTCCAGGTGAGGTTGGCCAGGGCTCTGAGCAACCTGCTCTAGTCGCAGATGTCCCTGATCCCTGCAGGGGGGTTGGACTGGATGAGCTCTAAAGGCCCCTTCCAACCCAAACCATTCCATGATTCTGACTCTGAGGTCCAGAATTTTAGCACATAAGACTGTGAGGCAGCAGAGCAGGTGGGTAAGCATCTGCACCAGGCCTTAGTGGATATTAAGGGTGTGAACAAGTGCTGCACAGCAACACCACAGGAACAGCGACCACCGCTTGCCCCCGTGGCACAGAGGAACCCTCCTGGCCTCACCTTGATGAGGAAGTCCCCGAGCTGCAGGTCGCTCAGGATCTCGTGCACGATCTTCAGGCACTCGGCATCGGGAATCATGGGGTCGAACTGCCCGGCGATGTCAAAGTCCTGCAGGAAAAGACAGTGAGCAGCTCAGCACCGCCGTGGCCAACACGGATCCACCTCTGCTCTTCAGAGCAGGCTTTTTACCAAAAGCAGCAGGATGTAAGGGAGCACCAGTCCTCGCTGACAGCACCCAGAAGGGACAGGAGGTGGGTTATGACCCCCGACCATCGAAGGCAGCAGGGCTGTCGTGTCCACTGCCCTTCAAAGGCCTTGTATGTCTTGTCATGGCCAGTGCAGAAGCTGTTCTGCTTCTGCAGGTACGTGACCTGCTCCCTGCCTGACACAGCATTTGCTGCAGGACACACTTTGAAACACAGATCCTTGGAAAATGACAAAAAGGGGACAGCAGAACAATCAGCAAAATAACTAGGACAAAGGAACCAGGAATGGGAGGAGAAAACTGCTTATGATTTGGTCTGTCCCAAATGCCAGATGCTTCACCTTGATTCTTAGGTTGTGAGTTTTCTAATACATGTGGCCAATCGAGTTAACGATCAGGGAAGAAGATACGAGAAGCCACCTCAGCTAAGGCAAAAGCAAAGTTTCAGCTGCCAAGGCAGAACAAGAATTCAGAAACCCTGAGTGCCCTCCACCTGAGGTTACCAGAATGTAGAACTGCACCCTAACAGCAAGATGTTTGAAGAGGCTGGTACCCCATGGCTGGGCACAGCAAAGAAAACGTTCAGAGAGAAATAAACCCCAGCAGCAACACGAGAGCTCTTATTTGACTGCCATTTATGGACCCTCAAAGACAGTCTTCAAAGAGTCTGAACACAAGAATCACTTTCATGAAGTGGGTAAACTTCAAGGCTCCAAAATAAAGTGGGGCAATGGAGGAGGAAAAGAGATGAGATCCCAGCAGTTGCTCCCTGATCAGCCAAGTGCAAGGAAGGCTGATGCAATCCCTGGGGAAGTTGGGCAAGCTGTGGCACAGTCAGGAAAGTGCCACTACCACTGTAGGTGGCAGAGGTGAAATCTCACTGGAAAAAAAAGGACCCTTGGGCTGGTGAATTATGAGATCCAGAAAAAAAAAAAAATGGTTATCTGGAGAAGAATGAAGGGGTGGCAGCGACAGTTTGGAGATCTGCACTGGCACAGGAAGAAGGAAACTATCAGACACAAGGAAGTTCAGCTGGGACATTAGACAATTATTTCTAGCTATCCTAGATCTTGGAACAGTCTTTTAGATGAGACTGGAGGCAAAGACCCCGAGATGTCTGAAAATGGGAGGTAACCCAGCTGGACCTGGAGCCAGAGGGGTGGTACGATGGAACGGGAATATCCCAAACAGGATTTGTTTGCAGCACAAGGCCCCGGGGGCTGGGTTAGCTCAGCAGAATGATGCCGTTCCTCAGGGCTACCATGTTTGACCAAGAAAGCCACGCGGAAATGGCATTCTTGTTCTGGAACCTGGCCTCTGAGCTTTTCTCTTCCTTGGAAACGAGGCCTGCCTAAGCACAGGGTAGAAGCAGCACAAGCTTCACCTGAGACACTCGCTCGCCTGGTTCTCATGTCCCACTAACACACCCAGGAGTGCAGCTGTTGCCAGCTTTGGGATCAGAAGGAAACTCCTCCCCTGCTCCAGGCTGGGGAGCACTGTGGGATGGAGCCGGGAGCTGTCCTTCTCCACAGGGCAAAGCAGGCCAGGGGCCTGGGGCACCTGCAGGCTATGTGATGACATTCCCCACTGCACCAGCACCACATCACCACCACCTTCTGCACCCTCCCATTCCCCAGCCAGTTTGCAAACCCATAAGGAGACCAGTGGATCCTCCTGAGCTTTCCACAGCCCCAGGGACATCCAGGCGAACACAGCCTGGGGTCCTGTGTGAAGGGGGTGAGACAACTCAGGGGGCTGGCATGGAGCACAACCACCACTCACACACTGGTAGAACTCCCTGTAGCGGCCCCGGGTCATGGCTGGATTGTCCCTCCTGTAGACCTTGGCAATGTGGTAGCGCTTGATGTTGGTGATCTTGTTCATGGCCAAATAGCGAGCAAAGGGCACCTGAGGAGGTTGGGTTAAGGGTGGGAACAAGGAGGGACCACCCCACCCCGTTATCAGCCACAGGCAGTGCTGGGGCCTCACTATCTCCCAACATCCAGCTCGGCGTGGTGCACACACAGTCACAGAACCCCACAACAGTGGGGGTTGGAAGGGACCTCTGGAGATGTCATCCAACGCCCCTGCTCCAGCAGGTCACCCACAGCAGGGTGCCGTGGAGCACATTCAGGCAGGTTTGTAATCTCTCCAGAGAAGGAGACCCCACAACCTCTCTGGGCAGCCTGCTCCAAGCTCTGACACCCTCATACTAAAGAATTTTCTCCTCTTGCTCAGATGGGACCTCCTGAGCTCCAGTTTGTGCCCATTGCCCCTTGTCCTGTCACTGGGCACCACTGACAAGACAAGAGTCTGGCCCCAGCCTCTTGCCCTAAGGGGCCCTTTAGCTCTTGCTCAGCATTGATCAGATCCCCTCTGAGGCTTCTCCAGGGTGACCAGCCCCAGAGCTCTCAGCCTTTCCTGGCACAGAGATGCTCCAGCCCCTCAGCATCCTTGTCAATCTCTTTTGGACTCTCTCCAGTGGTTCCTTGTCTCTCTTGAAATGGGGAGCCCAGAACTGGACCCAATACTCCAGATGTGGCCTCACTAGGGCAGAGCAGAGGGGGAGAAGAACCTCCTTTGACCTGCTGGCCACACTCTTCTAATGCACCCCAGGGGACCATAAGCCTTCTTGGCCATAAGGACCCATTGCTGGCTTATGGCTGACACACCCGTGGGGCAAAGCAAGTGCTAAGAGGTGGCTGGACTTCCTAGAGCTCCCCAGGGTCTCCACAACATGACACAACACACATGCTGCCATTAAGCGTCCCTACAGACACCTTCCAGCATCACCTCCAGCTGGGTCTCAGCCCGTGCACCGCAGCAGCCTCATCTAGGTGCCCTCTTTACAAGGAACCCCACTCAACACAGATCTGCTGCACCTCCACACACAAGTGTTCCTTTGTCAAACAGAAGCACAAGGTAGAATAAATAATGGAGCAAGGCTCCTGCCCCCACTGACTGCTGCTCCCAGCTCACACTCTCCCTGTTGAACAGGGTCAGAGCCACGAGACTGGGCAGTGGGGAGGCCAGCCCTCAAATTCTGGGGTCAGATCTGGACCTCTCACTCCCAGAAGGACCTTGAGGGGCTGGAGCGTGGCAAGAGAAGAACAATGAAGCTGATGGGGAAGGGTCTAGATCCCAAGTGTGGGGAGGGGCAGCTGAGGGACCTGGGGGTGCTGAGCCTGGAGCAAAGGAGGCTCAGGGGAGACCTTCTGGCTCTCCACAGCTCCCTGACAGGAGGCTGGAGCCAGGTGGGAGTCAGGCTCTTCTCCCAAGGAACAAGTAACAGGACAAGAAATGGCCTCATGGTGCTCCAGGGGAGGTTTAGGTTGGCCCTGAGGAACAATTTCTTCTGTCAGGGTTGTCCAGGGCTGTGCCAGGCTGCCCAGGGCAGTGGTGGAGTCCCCATCCCTGGAGGGGTTCCCAAGCCGTGGAGATGTGGTGCTGAGGGACACGAGTCAGTGGCGACCTGGCAGTGCTGGGTTAACAGTGGGACTTGATTTAAAGGTCTGTTCCAACCCAAACAATCCCATAACTCTACGAGCGTCCTGCCTTCTCCTCCCCTGTGCTCTGGACAGCTGAGAAGAGCCCTCAGCACCCGGCAGGATACAGTCAGGTCATAGCGCAGGGACAGCAGCTCCCCTCCTTGATCCTTCAGGTCGTAGATGAGCTTCGAGTCCTCACCGTATTTCCCCGTGAGCGTCTCCTACAACAAAAGGACACATGAACAAAACAGCATCTTCAGTGACAGGGGACCAGCCCTGGAGGACACAGAAAACAAAGAGAGAAAAAGGAGAACGTGTAGGAGATGGAAGAAGAGAACTCCAGTCCTTTTCCAAGACAGACCCTTCAGCTGCAGGACCTCGGCAGCTCAGCCCCCTCGCCGCGCCCTCGCCCACCTTCAGCTCGAACACGGGCGTGTCGATCACTTCTGCTCCGTGGCGCTTGAAGCAGGTGATGATGGCATCGAACACCTTCTCCCGAATGGCCATTTGCTTGGGGCTGTAGTCCCGCGTGCCCTGGGGCGAGACAAGGAGGAGAGCGCGGGACACGCTGGGTTAGAGGCTGTGCAGACAGGCCGCGGAGAAGAAGCTGTCACGCTGCTAACGAGACCAGAGAGATAGGGTCCACACACCAGACACTGGGTGAGGTGGGAAAAAGCAGCACCAAAACCCACTTGAAAACACAGCAGGGCGCAGCTCAGCCGCGACCTGCCGCGATCTACAGAGCTACATCCAAGTCAGGAGTTCAGGAGGCAGGAAACACAGGAGCAAACACAGAGCCAGCAGTCAGAGAGCTCAGAGCTGCCCACAGCTCCAGTCCAGATGTTGTAGCCAAAGCCCTGCACAATGAGCCACCCCACGAGGTGGCATCGGAGCACAGGCACGTTCTGAAGCTGTGGAACAACCGGGAGCTCCATGATTTCCAAACACACAGAGGAACCACCCTCTCAAAGCACGGCACCTGCCAAGCACCCATCTGCTGTTCAACAGGTTGTGCTCCCCTTTTATTTCTTCATTGTTAACAGTCACTGAATTAGCTCAACAATCACCCGTAGGCTCCCAGCAACACAAGAATCACTATTAATTAATGAGACCTATTTGTGAGCAGCATCCAGAACTGTCTCCACACCACAACGTGGCTGGACCCCAGTCAGCTGAGTGATGAAACGTTCAGACTAAAAATTTCAGCTTAAATTGCTTTAGGGACACTATTCTCAGGGGCCCAGAGGTTGAACAGCTACCCCTGAAAGCAAGAGGACACAGAAACATCAGCAGCCAGCCAGACCTACTCCATAACCCCAGATGCTATGGCTAGATCAGACCCTGTGGGACCTTTCCTGCTGCCCACTTCTCAA